AGACCCCGTAGGTGCTGGAAAGACTGTGTGTGGAGGGCGGTTTTCCGGTGGTGACGGAGGTCCGAGGGAGAGGCAGGCGCAGGGAAAACAAAGGGGTAAGGGGGGGGGAGTGACATCTTGGACTACAAATCCCAGAAAGCTGGGACGACAACTCCCAGTATTCTGAGACTCCCAGAATACTGGGAGCTGTGGTCCGAAAGGTCCCAGGCCAAGCTCTGGAAAAGACAGGCGGGGACCCTCCAGATCGTCCTGTGCACTGAGGAGACATCTGGAAACTTTTAGACTCTGTGCCAGACACACACACACACCCAGGATTTTTCGGGGACGGAGCCCCCCTCCCTCTTCCTCTACCTGCTGATCAAGGCTCTCTTGTCTTTCTCCACCTTGCCCGGCCCTTGTTCTCTCTCCAGTGGCTCCTGGCTGTCTAGACCCGCTTTCCAGTTTTTCCAGAGCAAAAATGCGCCTGGAACTCCGTGCCTTTGTATGTGGCCCTCTTTGTCATTCCCACCCCCTTCCCCAAAGCAGTGAGTCCTTTGGGTCTCCCTGCGGCCTGCCTGGGTTCTGTATATTTATATTAAACGATTGCGGACAGAGCTGATGCTTTCGTCCGTTTTTTTGGAGCGCGGAGGTCAGGCGTGTCTGGTGAAAATAAAACCATTCCTACTATCTTCTTAAGATCATAATGTGACCAGAGGAGGCCACATACTGTACAGATTAGTTTTGTCTTCTTGTGTTGCAAATGGCTTACCTTCTTGAGAGGTTTGCATTAGCATTAGCCTCTCTGGATTGCTGGTGAGTTCAAACAGGCTGGTCTCAAGAAAACAGTTTTTTTTCCCACAGGAGAAACACAAAAATCAGCGATAAGAAATGCTTTGAACGCCACCAGAGCTGAAAACTAGGGCTGCAATTCCATACTTACTAAAGAATATGTAAAGAGGCCTTATGCCATACCTGACCATTGGGACTTACTGCCATAGGACTGCCAGGGAAAGTTCCAGGCTGTTAAGCTCCCCTGATCTGAGCTGAGGTAGCAGGACTTGAACCCAGGACATTGTGGTTAAAAAACAGATGTGCAGCCACTGACCTAGGCCTCCTTCATGGGGGTCAGCCTAGCTGATCTCTGTGGGCCTTATAAGGAGCAGACATGTAAAGGACTCTGATAGGGAGGGTAATTTAACTCGATTCTTACTCATCACACTTGAGTTCAGCAACATTAGCATGATGGAATCTGTACCTCTATGGCTGCCTTGAATGGTAGAATTCTGAATTAAGAAGTATTTTAGATCCTGCCACCTGTTTGTATTTGGGAGGGTGACATCACGGTTTTGTATGTACATCTGTCAATGTCAAGGTGGTCGAAGAGTAAAAAAGATAATTTAAAGAAGGATATTAAAGGCCCTTCTAATGGTGCATGTAAATCACAGGGAGGAAGGATTCAGTAGACTCCGGAAATAAGCAATATTAGCCACATTGTTCGCCATGGATTAATTCGTTTTTTTAACAAACTGGAGAATTCGTTATCTCAAAGTTGGTGTTATTTTGAAGCTCCCCAGCAAAAAAATGAAGTTCTTATATAATTTATTTTATTTATTTATTTAATTTATATGCCGCCCACTCTACCCAAAGGTCTCTGGGCGGCTTACAACAATTAAAATTCAATGCAATAAAATAAAATGATTAAAATACAATTAAAATATGATTAAAATACAATTAAAATTGCCATCATTAAGACCCACAGTTAATGTTATTTCAATTAAAAGCCTTCTGGAACAGGAAGGTTTTGACCTGGCGCCGAAATATCATCAGTGTCGGCGCCAGGCGAATTTCAGTTGGGAGGGCGTTCCATAGTCTGGGGGCAGCTGCCGAGAAGGCCCTTTGTCTACGGGTAGGCTCATATGGAAGGAGGCGGTCCTTTATATAATAAAGCAGGGGGACTGATTCACTTTCCGGAGAAAGGTACCAACCTTGTCAGAGATAGATGAGAATGTTCCGAGAATCACTGAAGGCCGTTGAAGAGGGCTGTTTCCACAAAAAATAATATATAATCATAGGAAAAGTATATCTATAATTGGAAAATTATATATGCCCGAGGCTGTAGCTTTTGAGTACACTCGCCTGTAAGTAAAACCCAGGGGAACAAGTAGAATTTGCTTCCGAGTAAACATGTTTAGGAGCATGTTAACTGCTATGGTTGGCGTCTTGGAAGTTCTTACTTCCCTGTATATCTCTCATGTCCTGTATGTAGTTGGCAACTAGATTTTGATCAAGGTGGCGTGAAGCTGGGCTGGAAGGACGAGGGGAGATGGGCTTGCCCACTGCCTGCCTGTCTCCTGCTGAAGCAGTTATGGTGGTTTTTGTAGAGCGCAGTTCGGATGGATCCCTGCTGCTAACATGCATGGGCTTTTTGCTCAGGAGCAAGCAGCGGGGCAGTGAATAAGGACTCAAAGATTGGTTCATACTGTCTGAGACAGGTTTGTTTGCATTATGCTGGAAGAGAGCAGTGGATTTTCCCAAAGCCAGTTGGGATTGGGTTAAGGTGTGAATCTCCCACTCCTGGACTGCAGGCCTGATCAATCAATAATTTGCACCGGTCTTCATAGAAAACTGGCTTAGACTGTGTTCATCCTCCCCCCAGTATTGATAGCTCTGACCGGCAGCAACAGATATCCACAATATTCAGGTAAGATCCTTTCTTAGCCCTACCTGGTTATCCCCTTTCTGGTCCCCCATCCCAGTTTGGACCAGACCTGACTCTGCTTAGCTCCTGAATCAGGTGTGATTGTGTGTGTTTAAGCTAGAACATCAGGAACTCTTCCAGATGTGTTTCATGACAACTATCATCAACTTAGTTGACCAAGGAATATTCTCCTACACATCTGTAGAGCTGCCTCTGCATGCCAACATCACGGTCTTCTTTTTGATCCAAGGCTGGAAAAGCTTAATTTTTTTAGACCCCATGCTGGCTCATGGGTTCTGGGTGGTGTCGCAGAATCACAGAAGCATAGAAATCATGCTATGAAGGGGCCTAATAAAGCCATTGAATCCAACCCCTTGCTCAAGGCAGGAAACCAAATCAAAGGCTATCTCTGTCCTTCCCTTTGGCCATGGCATGGATAAGGTGCTCAGCTCCCCAAGGTCAGTGTTAGGGCAGTTCTAGAGAAGATGAGAGATTAGTGGTGCTGATTAACCAACCGAGGCTTTGAAAGCGGGTCCCTGCTTAAGAAAACATACAAGAGGCTTAGTGGTACAAATCAGCCTGTCTAGCTGGAGAAGCAGGGAGCCACATGGCCGTCTTAAGCCTCGGGTAAACAGAGGCTGAAGGAGTGCCTCGGAAGCATTTGCTTTTCTTGTTCGCTCGAAGTCTAGGCAGGAGTCGGTCAAAGGCTACTGGCTCCCACCCAAGCAGCGAAGTTGGCTGGTGGAACAGACAGGAAATCAGAACTTGGACGAGTTACTTAAGAAATGTGTTGCCAGCAGGCTCTCTGAGATGCGATGGGAGTTGTAGGGGCTGGCTTTGGGATTCTGGGATTCGGAGTCCAAGTCTATTTGTCTGATGAAATGTGGTCCGAGAAAGCTCATGCTGAAATGAATTCGTTAGCGTCAAAGGTAGCCCCCAGACCGTCGTTCTGGTTTTCTCCTCATTGTTGTCCAAGAATGCAACCTTTTTGAGCCCTCCAGAAACCCAAGGGAAGATTGCTGTCCTTCATAATGACAGGTTTTCGCTGGATTTCCTTGTATGTCAAGTTTCTAAATCAGACGACGTCCCTGCGGGGCTACGGCGCTTCCTTCTACAAAGTCAGAAAACAATTCAGTCTGCCTTAGTATAGCCTATGTCACCCTTGAGATCTATTAGATTGCAATTCCCATAATCCCCATACAGTATGGCCACACTGGCTGATGCAAGATGCAATGGTGGTCTCCATCTTGGACAGATTTAAAGAGGATCGGACATATGGGTGGAGGATACGACAGTTGAGGATCTCTCGCAGTGGAAGCTGCTTCTCACTCTTAAAACATCTTTGTGTAACCCAGCAGTTGTCCTTTTAAAAAAAAACACCCAGGAGTTGCAGCAGAACTTTATGAAACCATTGGGGCCCAGTTGCCACCTACTGGAAATCACCCAAAGTAGACCTTCTTGCTGCTCCGCAGCCGCAAGAGAGCTACACCCCATCTGTCTGTTGGAGTATGGAAATAGTAACGTGTTTCCTGTAACGCATTAGCACTGCAGCCATTTTTACTTAGGTGTTAAAATAGAAAGCATGCCTCGAGCCTTTTAAAGGGATGTTCTGAAAGGAATGCTGAAAATGTTCATTTTGCAGCCTTATTCTTTAGACGGATCCGTTGACTCCTATCGATGCAGAGAAGAGCTATTTGAATGTTAATGCGTTAAAAAAGGAGCGCCTTCTTTCCAAGCTCGGCTCTCTGTTTTCTCTAGCAGTGTTTCAGTTCCCTTATCCGAAGGACCCTCCCACTTTGCTCCGAGAGAGTCACAAAATAAATAAGGAAGGCGAGATCGTTGCCAAAGCCAGAGGGAGCAGAATGGTTATCCTTTCCAGTGTCACCACCGACTCGCGGTGATCTCTGTCGGTTAATATTTACCGTGGGTGTCATGGCGTATCAGGTTGGTCCCAAAGACCATTCCCTTCGCTTCGCGCGCCGGATGGCCATAGAGGAGCAGGTGTTGACTAAATGAGGAATAACATTTCCTTGGGAAAAACTGGTGGCCAGCTGATGACGTGGTGATCCTAGCTTCCTTTCTGCTTTTCTGCCTGGTTCTCCTCTTTGTCTTGCTTTGGAAGAAACAGGTGTTTTTTTGGGGGGTGGGCGAGAGCTCAGAGCTGCTTCTTATAGGGGCCACTGAGTTCTCCAGAAGCCAGGAGAGATCTGAATTTCTCCACCCAGACTTCACTGGGAGCACAGGCAGGAATATTTTTAGACTCCTATTTATTGGCTCAACACTTTGTACGGACCCTTTTCTCTTGCCGAACGCAGAACTTCAGGGTGAGTAAGTGCACCGGTTGCCTCCGGGAGGTAGGACTTGAGATGAACCTGAAAAGCAAGTAGAAAGAGAGGAAAACAGATAGAAAAAGTTAGCAGAAGCAACAACAACAGCAACAAGCATCTCTGGTGCCAGGTTCAAGACCCCATCTGGTCAGTGCACGAGAATAGCAGCATTTTAGCTTGGGTTTCTCTGGGGAGAGAGGACTTCACCATGGCAAAGCCTTCCTGTTACAGCTGCAAGCTTTGATCATTTTAAGCAGAACGTTAATTACCTCAAGTGTAGCTTAACTGGCGAAGGAAAACTTTAATGGATGGGACAGAAAATGGGTAGCATGCTTAGTTTGGTTAACTGGATAAGAGGAGGGAAGTGATTACAGCCGGCTTTTTTATTTCGAGGAGAAATGATCGCCTTTGCTTGTGATACGTTAGTTGTTCTCCGGTTATCTCAGAAGAACCTAGACGATTGTTTAGAATTATCAAAAATAACCAAACTGACTCAATGAACTATTGCAGGTTCGGCCACCCAGTGAACTAATAAATTGACTGTATTCTCCAAACTGGTCGGCTGTTCTGATTGTTTATTAGAGCTGCCACCTTAAACCGATTGATCGGTTGGATTAATGGATTTTTGCATGTTTCTGGTGGCAGCAAAAATAAACATAGGTTTTACAGCACACTGCTATGTGTATGTCTCTTGGCAGCTGTAATAAGTGTGTTAGCGTAAGATTGCAGGCTTCATCTTGCAGTAGATTCGGCTACACTTCTTATTTGGGTATTCCAACCTGTCTAAAACCAAAGACAGGTTTGGAAAACGGAGTCGGGTCTTCTCGGTAAAACACATCAATTGAGGTCATGTCCTTCTGTCTCCCTCAAGAACAGTCTGACTCATATGCAATATGCGTAGGGATTGATTTGCAGTTTCGTCCTTGCCGCCCGCAAAGATGTGCGGGAAATTCATCTCGCCTTGATTAAAACTTAGCGGGACTAAGTAAAACTTGGATGGAGTCACTGGCCAGACCTGCGGATATTTATTACCTTTTGCTTTAGGAAAAGACGTTTCCAGTTCTAGCATCTTGGAGATATATCGGACGACATGGCCCATAACACAGCTGGAGTCATGTATGATGGGAGTGGTTTAAGCATCTGGTTTTGGAGCCAGAGGTTGGGAGTTTGATCCCTCACTTTGCCTTCTTGACAAGGGGCCGGACTCGATGCTCCATAGGGCCCCTTCCAGCTCTGCAGTTCTGAGATTATTGCTATTATTGCTGTGAACATGTCCGGAGAAACGTTAGCTTGGGAAAAGATTGCTCTGGGATAAGTTGATCTCTTGCAACAGATGGAAATACCTAGTGTGTGTCTTTTTTGAAATCCCAGAATAGAAGAGGGGATAAGCGTAAGGAATGAACTTCTAAAGATGGAAAGCTGGCTGCTTGGAGCTCCCTAGCCTCATGCTAACCTAAAAATACAAGAATATTATTACGTTGATGCTGGGAATGAGTCTTGAAAGTGCTGGCTATGCCTGCCTTTTATTCCACTGTCTTTTGTATTTCGGATTCAGCCAAACGGGATGAGGACAGAAACCAAGAAGGCATTGGTTGTTTTCATATACAACGTCGTGTTTGATAAATAAAGGAATCCTACCCCTTGTATAGGAGGGGGGGAAGTCCTGAAAGCACAGGCATAGATGCTCTGGGTCCTGCACCCTAAATGGCCTTTTACAGTCATGAGGACTAGAAACTTCCCCTTCTAGGCCTGTTTAACAACAATGACACCACGGTGATTCCTGGGCAGGTGACTTTTCCGCCCTGAGCCTGATTCTCCCTTTCACTTGGAACGACAGTGTGGTCCAGTGGTCGGGATGGGGCGAGGAGATGCAGAGGTGGGTCCGGCGGCCCTCTCGGGCTGTGACGTCCCCTCGGCTCAGTCTCTCTTCCTCAGCCGAGCCTGACACGGTGGTTGTAAACATAAGACGGGTGGTGGTGGAGACATGGAGGCCGTCCCATCCTTGGTGAGGAAAGGGGGGAGCGGAGCTTGGGATAAAGAGAGTATTCCATGCTCAAGCTCTGTGCTTTTATTACTCCCTGCCTGCTTTCCGGGTTTCAAAGGCCAGTCTTTATCTCTCCTTATGGCACGTGGTTGCTGCGCTCTTCCCTTGAAACTTTTACCTTTGTTCTCTCTCTCTTTGTGTGTGTGTCTCCTTTCCAGCAGATGAACGCCACCGCCTTCGCCAACCAGTCCTCTCCTCCGGACGAGGAGCTGCTGGCATCCATCATGGCTCCCACCACCAGCTTGTCGTCGGGTTTCGTCTCCTCGGCGGCAGACTCCAGCCGCTCCATGGTGGGCGACGGCTCCCACCTACGAGTGGATCGGAACCACTCTCAAGAAAACCAGTACTTCTTCTTGACCACCGCCACCGCCAAGGGTGTCTCTGGCCTCTTTGTCTGGGCTGCCCTTTTCCTTACCTGCCATCAGGTAAGTGTGTGTGTGGGGAATCCCAGAAGCCAGCCTTCCTTATCTTGGGTTGGTGGGACTGCAGTGTCCATCATCCCCAGCCAGCGTGGTCAATGGGTGTTGTCCTCTCTAAAACATCTGGAGGAGCGGTGGGTTAGGAGAGGCTTCTGGAAGGGTGGAGCGACAAGAAAGGCTTCTGCCTTTTTGTATCATATAGAGACTAGTTTCTTATTAATCCCATCAAAATAAAGTTCAACGGGGATTGCTCTTGAGTAAGCACCCTCGGGGTGGCAAAAGGTGGCCAGGTGTCCCGAATTTCATCTCAGACTTTTGATACTGCCTAGGTTGGCACCATCATCCGTTATCTCTCCCCGTTGGCAAGGGTTTCATCAGAGTGGACTTTGCCCTTTCGTTATTGTTTTCCTGCCTTTTTATCTCAATGCGTTCTCTTGTGGGTCAAAAAATGTGAGAAATGCCACAGGATCGGTATGGGATGATTTGCAATTTTTTTTAAATTGACCCCATGATTCAAAAAAAAGAGGAAAATCAGCCCAGATCCAACACCTTCCAAATCAGTTGCTTTTGCTTCCGTTATTGCTGGGGCTTGTACATTAAAAAAAAAACACACCAATAAGCAAAACACACACACACTTTTTAAAAATCCTTTGGGGGGAAAAAGGGGGCATATAAATGTTTTAAATAATAAATAAATAAATATTAGATCCCTTTGCATTGGTTCAGGCATTATGATTGCTTGAACTGATACAGAAAAGTAAGCTCTTTCGCTCTCCATCATCCCCCTCTGGGCAGATTATGCCATTTCTTTTTACCTTCTTTTTTGAAAAAAAACAACTGCTTAGTGCCAGCAGTGTTGTGCTAAGACAAAAATGGGAGCAAAACAGAGAGAGAAAAGAAGAGGATGAAATGAAAGGAGGAAATTGTCAATCTGCTTATTAAATTGTTCTTCCGTAGCTGCACCTCCTGCAGGGCTACAGAAGAACTACATCAACAAGCTGCAAACAAAGCTGTTTAGCCAACTTCCTCCTCTTCCCCCTATGTGGCCAGTTAATTCGAACAGACCCAGGGAAACTCAAATTCCCCAGTGCAGCATGACATTTCTTTCACTGTATAGTTACAACCATAATATCTCTGTTCAAGATGAGTCACTTTCCTAAACCCCACCAATCCTGGCATGACATTTCTCTCACTGTATAGTCACAACCATAATATCACTGTTCAAGATGAGGAGTCACTTTCCTAAACCCCACCAATCCTGCATCCAGCACTGCCGTTTCTCCCTCGTTTACTTTTTGTGTGTGTGCGTGCCTGCACATGCTCAGTGTCTGCTGTCCCCAGCAGCAGCTTGCTTTCTGTATTTCTCTCCTGTGTAGTGTGGTGGTTACATTATTGACTTGGGGCTTTATAAAACCAAGTTCTTGTTCTCACTGAGCTATTAAACATGGGCCAGTCGCCCTCCTCAGCCTGACCTACCTTGCAGGACTCCTACTAGGATAAAACAGGAAGTATGAGAGGCCCGTGCCACCTTGAGCTTGCTGGAGAAAAGGTGGGACCCAAATGTTACTACTGCTGATAATAAATAATAATAATAGGTTGTAGATTGCTGTATCTCTATCTGCAACTCTCTGCCTGCCCCTTAGATCTACTTGCACCTTAAAAACTACACCATTCCTAACGAGCAGCGCTACATCATCCGCATCCTGTTCATCGTGCCTATTTATGCCTTTGATTCATGGCTGAGCCTGTTGCTGATTGGAAGCCACCAGTATTACGTTTACTTTGACTCCGTCCGTGACTGCTATGAAGGTGAGTTGGGTTTGATGGCTCATCCTGGGGAATGGAGAACTTACAGGGACGTAGGAAGGACAAGTCTACTGATAAAGTGCATACCCCAGTTCAAGTGGCAAATTAAAATTAAATTAAATTGAAATCATCAGACGGAGACTTTGAAGGCGGGCGACTTGGGTTCAGGTTTGGGGCGAGTCGCGCTGTCTCTCCCCGAGTTACCTCACAAGACCGTTGTGCGGATGAATTGAGGAGGAGAAAGTGAGTCTTAAGACGCCCCCTTAGAACTCATTGGAAGAAAAGTAGATGATCAACACTGGTTTCTAATAAAGTAGCCGCTTGTTTGCAACAGTGAGCCAACTTGTCAAAGTCCTAGGGACAATGCACACCTTTATACGGAAAAGTAGAAGGCAGCTGACCTGCCAGAAAGGTACAAATTAGGTAGTTGATTTTTGCACCGTTGGATATAGACAAATTGGCCAATACACCCTGCAATTTATAGTTTCCTAGCTCAATTTTTTCTCAATAAGGCTCAATACTCACCAGCACCCGCTTGTAGGAATGGCGTAGGCTTGACAGCCGATCTTCCATTTGGCCGAACTGAGAAGGACGCGTGATTGCCATGCAAACTAAACCAGAAAGGTGCTCTAGTCCTGATCAGTTTCCTGCCCTGTCTCCCTTCTCCTGCTCCTCCGATGTGCTCCCCACTTCGGGAATGCTAATGTGGGTCTCCCTCAAGGCCAGATCCTCACCATTCCACAGGGTTTGCTGTACCTGGAAGGTTCAGAACCTTCTCTCTCTGGTTGAACTCCTCTTACAATCCTTGCTCGGCGTGTCTGTGTTTCTTCCCCACAGCTTTTGTGATCTACAGCTTCTTGAGCCTTTGCTTTGAGTACCTCGGCGGAGAGAGCACCATCATGGCAGAGATCCGGGGGAAGCCGATCGTGTAAGTGGGGAGAAGCGATCTGTGCTGCCACCAATCAGTTCAATAGCGCTCCTTTGCTTGCGCACCCTGAGGATCTCTGGATCCTGGCGCCGGCACTGATGGATGATGGTTGTCTCGATTTATTCCAGGTCCAGCTGCTTCTACGGCACATGCTGCCTACAAGGGCTGTCCTACTCGATTGGTTTCCTCAGGTTTTGTAAGCAGGTGAGTAATATGAGAGTATAGCCTTGCATGGATGTTGGTGTGGATGTGTGTTTGAGAGAGAAAGAGAGTGAGAATTAAAGCAGAGCATCAGAAAGTTACCGTATTTTTCGCACCATAAGATGCACTTTTTCCCCACAAAACAGGGGGGGGGTGGAAAGTCTGTGCGTCTTATGGAGCGAAGAAAACAGATTATATTTTCCTGTTTTCTTCTCCTAAAAAATTGGTGCATCTTATGGAAAGGCGCGTCTTATGGAGCGAAAAATATGGTACTTCTTGGGCTGAGCTCCCAGGATCTTATCCCGGATGGAAAATCCTGGGAATCGTAGTCCAAAAAAAGTAACTTTTACAAGTGGTGAATGAGACGGAAGGAGAACTTCAGCGGGCCATTTCTCATCACATACTTGAATTCCTGCCACAGAGGCAGTTATGCCAGTTCCATAGCAAGATACGAAAAATAATGCATAATATTATATATTTGGATTATATTACAACATTTGGTTCAATGTGTTGTGGCGTAAGCGTTCAAGGTTCCTCCCATCCTCAGTTTGCTTGTTTATTATTTAATTAGTTTAAATAATAATTAAAATAATAATGATTGAATTATTATTTAATAATAATTAAATAATAATTATGGTCACCATGTCTGAAAGGATAAGATTCCTTTTATTCTGATGAATAGCCGTCCCACCTGAATTCGGGGCGCTGTCCAACATGCACATCTGGAAACCGTGCATCTGTCAAGTCTTCATCCTGTCTTGGCTCTCTCTCTCTTTTTTTAAAATCACATTTGCAGCTACTTTTCATGTACATTTTTGTGTTTGTCTTGTTTTTCATGCACGCTCTCCCCTCCAGGCGACGCTGCAGTTCTGCATTGTGAAACCTCTCATGGCCATCATCACCATCATCCTGCAGGCTTTTGGGAAATACAACGATGGGGACTTCAAGTGAGGAGGCTTTCGAGGAGAAGGAGAAGGGAGGGATTGGGGGGGGAGGCAAGGAATAGGACAACAGGGGGAAGACAATACAGTCCCCTCCAGGGCCATCTGCAGTGGGAAGAGGAAGGAATAGCCTGCCAGTCTAGCTCTGCTCCTCGAGACTCCACGTTCCATTCCCTGATCTGATTCTGTCCCCTTATCTCAGAGGAGTGATCAGAGATAAGGTGCAGTTTAAAGCTTGGGTGGCCGTGTGTGATCCTGGCCTTGGATCAGGCCGTCCAGAAATGATCTGTGTTCACTGGGAGTGGCTGTCATGAACTCAAGGCAAGAAGGGGCTTTTCCCAGCTGCTCCCTCCTCTTACGGCCGATGTCGGGAATTGAACTCACAAGCCTTTGGCTTAAAAAGTATGTGTTCCACCTCTGAGTGAGGGTCTCTCTTTGACAGTGAAAGTTGCAACTTTCTCCAGATTGATTTCAAAGCCGCGGCTCTTTCACTAGGAATTCCGTTACCTCTGAACTGTTTGCTTTCCAGCGTCCACAGCGGCTACCTCTACATCACCATCATCTACAACATCTCGGTCAGCTTGGCCCTCTACGCCCTCTTCCTTTTCTACTTCGCCACCACGGAGCTCCTGCGCCCCTTTGAGCCAGTTCTCAAGTTCCTCACCATCAAAGCAGTGATTTTCCTCTCCTTCTGGCAAGGTGGGTTTCTCGGTTCCCGTTTCCAGAGCCGAGAGCCTCTCCTGGGGTCTTCCATCGGAGCCGCAGAGCGAGGTGGTGTCGTGGTTCGAGTCCACCCTAGAAGGTCAAGGGGCAGCTCCCAACTGAGCGGAGAGGTTTGCGGATCGCCCACGGAGTGGTGGGACATCATTGGTCATCTCAACATCCCTGACAAGGCTGTTGTGATGATGAAAGAACCCCCTGAGCCCCTTGGAGACATGTTGGGAAATGGGACGAATTTACCCTTGTCATTTCCTCTGCTAGGCAGACGGTCCGTTGGGCTGTTTTTAGAGCACACGGGGTTGGTGTCGGTGGGCTTGGGGGAAACCCATGGTTTGTGGAACTATAGGAACTGTTTGAAGGGAAACCCGATGAAGGGGGACCCCCAAAAGCAGTCAGGAAGAGATGGAAAGCCTCCGTGATCATGAGAGAAAGATGCTGTTTTGGGGAGGGTGTGTAAACCCCAAAAGCAGTCAGGAAAAATGGAAAGCCTCCGTGATCTTGGAGAAAGATGCTGTTTTGGGGAGGGTGTGTGCATGGAAGAACAATATGGAATGCAGTCCCTTAGAACCGTGGTTCCCAACCTTGGGTCCCCAGATGTTCTTTGGACTACAACTCCCAGAAATCCTGGCCAGCACAGTGAGTGGCAAAGGCTTCTGGGACTTTTAGTCCCAGAATATCTGGGGGACCCCAAGTTAGGAATCCACTGCTTTAGGGTTCCTTTTGTTGCAGCCCACTGATTTTGAGCGAGTGAATCCGTAAGCGCCTTGACACTTGGTAGCTCAAACCCTATTGCCCGGTTGGGAGAAAGGTGTCCCTGCAGATATTGGACTACAACTCCCAGTATTCCTTGCTCTTGGTGCTGCTGGCGAAAGTGATGCAGGATGGATTCTGGGAACATGTGGAGCACCCCCTTGTGGGCAAAAACGGTGCCCGTTCATAAACATTTGGAGCCACCGGCCGTGCTCAGCAGCCACTCTTTTTCTGCAGGGATGTTGCTGGCTATCCTGGAGCAATGTGGGGTGATTCCAGAAGTCCAGATCATTGATGGGAAGGCAGTGGGAGCCGGGACAGTGGCCGCTGGCTATCAAAACTTCATCATCTGCATCGAAATGCTCTTTGCCTCAATTGCCCTGCGGTATGCTTTCACCTGCCAGGTGTACCGAGAGAAAAAGGAAAGTGCAACAGGTAACGGATGCCTTTGTGTATACAGGACAGCTAAAGGTGGGGATCGATGGGAGGCAGAAATTCCAGGTGACCGCTCTGGATTTTTCGCACTGACACCTTTAGATCAGTGCTTGCCAACCCCAGGTTTTCTTTGGACTACAACTCCCAGAAGTCCTGGCCAGAACAGCTTTGGGGAGCTGTAGTCGAAGGACCTCTGGGGATCCAAGACTGGAAACCATTGCTGTAAATATTTAATTGTCCAAGTAATAACTTGATGGCTGGTTAACCTGGCTGTGTGAACAGATCCCTGCTGGTTACATCACAGTCAGGGTGTTGGGGGCATGGGGAATAAAGGACCGGCTGAATTCCTTTCTGCAGGGAATAGATTTTTGTGCATCCCCTGATCCTCTGTCTTCCTCTCCCTTCCAGCCACCTTGGCCCCAATGCAGAGCATCTCCAGCGGATTGAAGGAGACGATGAGCCCGCAGGATATTGTCCAAGACGCTATACACAACTTCTCCCCTACCTACCAGCAATATACGCAGCAGTCCATGCGAGAAGCGGGGGAGGCTGGGCAGAACGGGTCCATGGAACCCAAACCGGATGGCCAGCATGGCCGGAAGAGCAAAAACATCGAGAAAAGAGTGCTGATTGTCTCGGACGATGAACTCTAAGACGCCGCTCAAGGAGAAGGAAAGGCCATTTTCAAAGATACCTCCATAGCCTCCTTCCCAGCTCACCATGGCGAACAGAACCGGACCGTGTCCAAAAGACCCGGGAAGCTGAGATGTTGGCTGCTTACTAGGTCAGCTAGTCTGGAGGTGGAGCTGGTGCTTTTGAAGGCTGGTGTTTCAGACGTGTGAATGGCCTTGCCCAGCTCTGCTTTTAAAGCCACACCTGCTCTTCTGGAAGCCACCTCCTCCTGTCTTCGAGATGAGCTGCAAAGGCCAGGACGGCTTGTTCTGAAACGTTTAGGAGGGTACCACAGATCTGCTTAGGACACCTCCTGACAGGGAAGTTTGGTGCAGAAGCAAAGAAAGCGTAAGTGAGCACAAGAGGGCTCCGCTTTAATGCCCCCAATTCAGCACGTGTTGTGTTTCAGTCCCATCGAAAGCCACTGGAATAAAGGGCGATCTTGTGGCTTTCAGTGGAATTGAATAGTCCCTTTCTGGATCTCGCCCACTCTGTTAAAATAGAATAGGTAAGAATTCTGGAACAGGGGAGACGCGCGAGGTAAAGACGGCAACGACTTCCCCTCCTCTCCAAAGCTTTGAAATGTTGCTCTTACTGGAGCATAATTCCCAGAAACCCCCAGCCCCATCTAAGGTGCTTCTAGAGGCACAATTGATCATAGTGGAGACTACATTTTTTTTCCTTGGGGCTCCAGACTACACTTTACTCACCCCGGTATAGTCAAACTCAGTGGTCCCCTAAAAGGGAAGGGAGGGTGGGGAAAACACGCACAACCACTCCATGTCACAGGCCACATTGTTTTACACCTCCTACAATATCCGGAGAGCTCTTAGTTCCCTGCCTTGGTGTAAAGATTGCAACGGAATAATATATGTGAAGCGCTTTGGCTTGGAATGCTGCACAAATTCAAATATCATTGCCTAGACACTGCTAATGCCTCGGCAATGGTAAAGAACGATGGGAATTGTACTGCAATAGGCTTTGCCCCCTCACCTTTGGTTTGGGAAGATGGAGCTTTTAGCCCTCCAGATTTTTCAAACGAACAATTCCTCCAAATTCTTACCCTTGGCTCTCCTGGCTGAGGTTTTGGGAAATTCAACTCCAAAACCTCTGGAGGACCCATGTTTTTCCATTCGTCTTCGGCAAGTCCTAGGAATCCCTTTGGCAGGGATGAGTGGATGATGGGGCAGGCCGCCAAGCGTGTCGAAGGAGGTAAGACGTTTGGGTATGTGTAAAACACATGAGAGCGTTCTGGCTTTTCACTGGAAATTTAGCCCAGAGCCTCTTTTCCCCAATGATTATTCACATGCTTGTATCTCCTCAAGGCTTCTGCTCTGGAACAGCACTCCCCCCCCCACTTCTTTTACTATGAAGTGATTGCTGGGAGCGCAAATGTAAACTTGTAAATTTCAAAACATTAAATTATTTCTTAAGACTTTTTCTAATAAATTTTTTTTAAAAAAAGCTGTTTTGTACCATTGAATCACTAAGTAACTAAAAAAAGAGAGGGGGGCTTCCAACTAATTCTTCAGCTGTCATTCTAAAAATAGCAATGATGATGTGCCACCAGGTTAATTCAGATGTAGGGTGACCCTTTTCAGGGTTTTCTAGGTACAGTATATGTATTCAGCTGTCATTCTCAAAATAATGATGATGATGATGTGCCACCAAGTCAGTTCAGATGTAGGGTGACCCTTTTCAGGGTTTTCTAGGTAGATGTTTATTTTTTGGGTAGGGCTTATATGACAAGCATCTTGAATATATGTTTATTTTTAGGGTAGGGCTTATATGACGAGCATCTTGAAAAATCATACAATGGCTTATTTTCAGGTTAGGTCTTATTTTCGGGGAGACAGGGTATATCAGAGGAAAGTTATATGGACTTGATGTGCACTGAGCGAATGAATGAGTCTTAACAGTAGTTGGGAAGAACAACTGTTTTTGTCCTTAATTTTTTAAAATAATAAAACCTGCCTATTTGATTTTAATTAATTTTGGAAGGGAGACTGAGGCTATCAGTGTCCCCTGAAGTAACAGAGAAAAAAACAAAACAGCAGAAGCCAGACCCCACAAAAAGCAGGAACAGGATCCCTCCAGATGTTGCCTAACCATTGGCCACATCAAACAGGCCAGATGTCGATGGTTGACAACACCTGGAAGGGCCTAGTTCCCCCAGTCTCAATCAAGACCAATTTGGCCGACTGAATTTGAGAGCAAAGGCCAGAGCCACTTCTAGCAGCTTGGCTGAGACCATGTTATCTGCTCTGCACAATGCAATCTCCAGCTGTAGCTACCTGTATTTCCTTATTGTCATATCTTGCATTGGGTCCATCCAATTGTGAGAAGCTTTAAATTGACCTTCTACAACTAGGCTGGCACAAAAGCAGGGAATAAATGAAAAGAACCAAAATAATCCAGCATTCCGTATCAGGAAAAAAGTCACCTGTACATTCTTAGGAAGCTTGTAAGCAAGATACAGATTATTTTCAGTTGCTTGTCCTTAATGTTAGCTGGTTCCCAGCAAATGTGTCTTCACATATAACTTCTTTCAGAAGCTCAAAATAACATACTGTACTAACCAAACTCTGGGCAAAATACTGCATGGGAAAACATTGTGAGAAGCTGAACTCCAAACATACTGATCACAGACCCACTTGAATCTGAAACCAGAAAACGCTTTATTGGAAAGGTACAAAAATGAAGTCATTGCAGCTTAAAATATACAGCAATAAATTAACATTGTTTTTTTTGTCAAAGGGAAAAATGCCATTAGATTGGACACGCGCCCACACAACAGTGTATACGCCTTACAAAACAGGCACTCACATTACTTGATATATCAATAATTTATTTCATAATAAAAAGAGCAGCACAAAATAAATATTGAAATGAAATCAAATTGAGTAAACCACAGAGAAGGTAGAATCGACAAGTGACTTAGAGAGAAGAACTCAGCAGACGTCTGTATATAGCGATATCTTTGTTATGGGGGAGAGAAGCGTTCAGCTCTGCCACTAATGAACACACACACACGCTCCAGTACACTGAAACATGGAGGGCCAAGGGAGGAAACTCCGTGTTACAGAAAATCTTATTTTCTTATAAATTTTAAACCAATTACAAAGCTTAAATGATCGTGGGAAACACACGATTAATTTAAATTCCCATCATCTTTGCCTTATTAATTGAGCCCCACCAGCTGGCTGTCCCACCGATCCATTGTATTCGACTCCTTCCACATACGCACACCCTTCACCAAAGGTTTCAATGATCCCACTGGCTTTAGATTTCAAGCAAGAGCCGTCCTGTGCATTAGGCTGATTGAGATGGCCAGCTGATGATGCCAACGTCCAGATCATACTACTGGCGGGAAGTATAGGTTAATGCTCTTCTATGTTTATATATGTTTTCTGAAATTCACCCTGCCTGTAGTATATTAGCATATAAGATGTAGTAAATTAGTAATCCTGTAGAATTCATGTCATGTGGGAAGTGTCCCGAAACCAGAAGGAGGCAGGTATACAAAACCAGTAGCTAGATAAATAAGCTTTCCTCACCATGCTCTTTTGGATTGCTTTCTGGCTCCGTCCACTCAGGTCTTGTGCAACCCCCCCCAGTTCTCTGGAGGAGGGGGACACAGTCCCAACCCACCTCTTTTCTGCCTTTTGGAGGAGGACCCTTCAACTGGATACCACTGGTTTCTGTCCCGGTATAAAAACACACCCAAAGCTTTCATACTCCTTTCAACGACTGCAAGTCTTTTTGACTCCACTGGGTTGTCAGAGAAAACTAAAACAGTTCCTGCCCTTCCTTCCCAATTCCTGCTGGACACAAGCATTTTTAAATAAAAACTGACAACATCACATACACACACACACACACACACATCTCAATAGCTTTTACCAAAAAAAATTTGTAGGATAAAATGTATA